GGGATCATATGGGATGCCAGGCATCAGGGATTGAACCTGTGTCTGCCTCCTGCAAGTCAACGGCACCCTACCTGCTGTACTACTACTACTCTGTGCCATCACTCTGGCCCCAGGGATCTTCGGTTTTTTATGACTTGCTTCTGTAGCTCACCTCATTTGCAGTCCTATTTGCTGGCTTCAAGGGGTTAGGAGCTGAGAAGATGTTCTGATACCACTAAATGGATTAGTAAGCAGTCACCTACAAAACCAGGACCAGAGAGATAACACAGGGGCTAAGGCGCTTGCATAAGGTTGGATTCCTGGCACCTGCACGTTCCCTGTCTGCCAGTGATACCTGAGCACAGAGCCAGGACTAGTCTACATTGAGCACTGCCAGGTGTGGATCTGACCCCCCTCTCCAAATGAATAAATGTCTTCTGTCCCAGACAGTGGCGGCAGAGAGGGTGGCGCAAAGACAAGCCATCTCCTCTGACAGGGCACCTCCAGGGTCATTCCTTCTCCTGCAGGCCAGCTTCCCTACCCCCTCACTTGTCCCGGTGACCTCTTGGCTCACTGAGTTAACCCTCTGTTCCCTGGGTACCGCTTGTGGGAACTGAGAGTCAGTTCACTGCTGCCTGACACGTCAGTACACATGACCACAACCCACCATGCACAACTGCATCCCTGTAGGTTTTCTTAGAGCAGGTCCTGAGCATCAGACACACACACACACACACACACACACACACACACACAGAAACACACACACACCACACACTGTGAGCTCTCTAGGGACTGCAGCCACTCCAGGATCTGGGTTCTGAGCAGACTGAAGCATCTTGTCTTCTTTCCTTATTCTGCAAAACTTCCTGGGGTCACTTGTACAATAGTGTTAGAATGGGGGCGGGGGGTGGGAGCAGAGAGAGGACCGGGGTTAGGGTGCATGTCTCCTTTGTGATCAGCCTGGGTTTTTTTATCACTGGCACCACATGGCTCACCTTGCATCGTCAGGGACAGCCTTGAGCACTCCAGGGTGCAGAGGGCAGGGGCACATACCTAGGCACGAATGGTTCCCCAAGCCCCACCAAGCCTGCTTACCCCAAGCACTGAACTGGCAGTAGCCTCTGAGCACTGCTGGGTATGACCCCCAAACCAGTACTGTAACTGTATAGGAATAAAATTCAAAAGGGACAAAGATCTAGAAAAATCTGGGGGCTGGGGACCTCCCCAGCAGTGCTGCAGGGTGATACTCAGCCCTGACAGCTTGGTGTTTGGGTCTGGTGATGCAGAACTGTGTGGCTTAGTGGTACTCAGAGACAAATAGGCCTATGCCTAGTGACATTTGGAGGGGACCATGGGGACCAGGGATACAACTCGGGGCCTTGTGTGTGCAAAGCATGCACTCCAATCCTCTGAGCCTCTCCTTGGCCCTGATGTTTTTTTTTGGGGGGGGGAGAATGATTTCTGTAGCAATGCTCAGGGGTCAAGTGGGATGATGTTTTTTAATATTGGAAAAAGTAATATGAAAGAGAGGCCCATATTTATGAGCTCTGAAGAGGGATGAAAACTGTCTGTGATCTGAAGCAATAAAGGAATTATGAAGAAAAAGCCCAGCAGACTCAGCTACAGGAAAATAAGATACAATATCATAGAGTAAAAATAGGTTAGGGCTGAAGCAGTGGTACAGCGGGTGGGGCATTTGCCTTGCATGCAGCCAACCCAGGTTTGATCACCAGCATCCCATATGGTCCCCTGAGCCCCATCAGGAGTGATCCCTGAGTGCAGAGCCAGGAGCAGGTCCTGAGCATACCTGGGTGTGGCCCCAAAACAATAAACATTTAAATAAAAACCCCTGATATTTAGGGGGCTAGGGTGATGGCGCAAAGGACTGGAGTACAGGCTTTGCATGTGGGAACCCTGGGTTCAACCCCCAGTACCACACGCTGCCCTGAGCACCTCAGGGAGCAATGTCCCAGCACTGCCCTAGGAGCAGCCTCTGAGCACTGCTGAGAATGACCCCCAAACAAAACAAAAACTTAGTATCAAGGAAAATTATTATGATGTCAAGGATATGAAAAGAGAGTTCTGCCAAGAAGTTAAATATAGGACACAAACAAGTAGAACATCTGGGGGTTGAAATGATGACCTCTTCCCTTAGGCTTCCTGCCTGCTGTAACTTTAGGGACTCATGGGGAAGAAGTGGATGAGGGCGTGGGAGATGGCATGTTGCACCCCATAACGGAACAGAGCAGAAGCAGCCCAGAATGCCAGAGGGGGTGGGAATGAGGGGGCAGCTAGACTTGTAAATCACTGGGCTCCCACCACCTCCTGCTTCCTTCTTCTTCCATCCCACAAAAGTCACCCTGGCCCTTTAGTTAAGGGGTCACCAGGCTGAGAGACCAGTTGGCTATATGTTGGGTCAGAGATTCCTCCACCCAATGGGAAGGCATAGACTGGGGGTCTGGCTCCAGCCCGACCCAAGGAGAAAGCATCTTTGCTGCCTCCTTGCACGGGCAAAGCTTCTCACCACCACTTTACTGCCAGGGCATGGTGCCAGGCTGGCCAAAAGGCAGGAGGGGAACCAAAGCAGAGGGGCTGGAATCTGCCAGGGGCCAAGCACTGCTCAGAAGCAGCTCTCCTTAAACACAGAGACAGGCCAGGGAGATGGCTCAAAGGGCTAAAGTGCATGCTTCACCTGAAGGACCGCAGGACACCTCATGTTTCCCCCGGCCCAGGCGCTGCTGGGAGCAACCAAAAACTGAGCTGGGAGAACCCCCTGAGCACCACTGGGTGTGCCCCCCCCCAAACCAAACCCAAACCCAAAACCACCACAAAACACAGTAGCAAGAACCAGAGTGGGTTTCTCCTGCAGCCCGATGAGGGGAGTAGCTCTCAAGCAGAACTTACTGTGAGAAAAAAAAAAAAACTGTCTCAAGTTAAGCTTTAAAAGGACTTCCATTCTTAGAATGAATTTGTCTGCCTGGACAAATTCTGTGGGGGTGGTAATGGGGGTCTTCCCTGAAGCAGGGGAGTGCTCCGGGTACCACCCAGGACCTCCCTCCAGGGGAAGAAACTGGATTTTTGTAGACTACCCACTAAATATTATGTGCCACACATTTTCTCTGCTACCTTCCAGTTCTAAAATATTCCTAGTCAAAGTTCCTCCCCCGTTCACCCACAGTTTGTTTTAAAACGTAAACACACATAGGGATTGGCAAAAGAAATTCACCAAACGAGGAAGTCTGCCACAGACAGAGGGAAAGAGAAGCATACACTTTGTTCTAGGCTCCGATGCTAAATCCGGCAGGAGGTGCGAAGGGCTGGCAGCTTGCTGGTGGCGGGTTCAGTGGCAGCAGGCAGCTCCCTCCTGCCTCACGGTGGCAGGCCAGCAGCTGCTGCACCCTTGGGAGCCAGGGGGAGAGTGGGTGGCACCCAAGAGCCCAGAGACAGGTCTGCAACCACAGTGGCCCAGGGGCCTGGCTATGTGCCTCAAACCATAGCAGGGCCTGCCTGAATGCAGACAATGCCCCCCCACACACACACCCCCTGCAAATACCCAGCCCACACGGCCCAGCCTGGCCATGTCCTTCCAGCCGCTGGACTTTGGCACCATTTGGGACATCAACATTCAGCTCCTCGAATCCAGCTTGTCTGAAACCAAAACCATTGTTTCTGCCAAACTCTCCCATCCTGAGGGTTCTTTTCTTCTGGGTTCAGCCTTTCATCTTAAACCCTATGGAGGAGCATGACCCAGCCACCCATCAGTTCTGGTATGAGCTCCCAGCCACTCTTCCATGGCCTGAGACTCTCCTCTCCTCTATTTATTTATTTAGTTTGTGTTTGGTTTGGGGGCCACACACAGCAGTGCTGGGGCTAACCCTATGGTGCCAGGGATCAAATCCAGGGCCCCCTGCATGCAACAGGCGCTTCAGCTCACTCATCTTCCCTTTTCATTCTCACTGGGATCCTTCCCATGAAGGGGCTAGTGTGCCCTCTCTGCAACAGGCTTCTGGCAGGTCTCTGTCCTCCCTGCAATCCATGTCACCTCTAAGTCACCTAGAGGTCACTGTCACACAGGAGCAGCCAGTCCAATGCAAACCTGCTCCCTCAAACCTTTCCATCTTCACCCACGCCAGCGACATCTGATTGGTCCAAGCCACTTTCCCAGCTTTATCTCAGTCTTCCTCCCAGCAAGTCCCCTCTGGCGCAACCTGGGGGGGTTTCTCAAACTGAAATCATCAATGTCACTCCAGCATCAGAGCACTCATTATTTGCATTACTCTCCCAGCCCCCCTCCCACTCCCCTGCCACTCCCATCCCCAGCTCCCCTGTTCACTTGACAGCCTGAGCCTTCTTCTGCTTCCAGGTCTGAGAGGGAGCAGGAAATGCATGCAGCATTCACCAAGCAAAAAGAGAGTCATTTCCTGGCTGAAGGTCAAGTGGCTGTCTCCAGGGGTGGAAGCTGGAAGGCCCAGTTCCCTTCCCAGCCCTGCAAACAGTCCCAGTCCAGCTTTTCATCCACCAGTGCTTGCTCCCCAGGCTGCAAAATTAAACTCAATCAGCTTTCAAAGAAGCTCTCGGCGAGAGACCAAGGATGGCAGAGATGGGACTTTTGTGGGAACTATGGATCGCCAAGGTGGAGGTAGAAAAAAAGTGGGGCTGTGAACCCCAGCCCCTCATCCACCCCTGCCCACAAGCTTGAGCTCTCTGAACTTAAGAGAGATGCCCCCCACGCCCCCGCCCCCTGCTTTTCCATCTGGTATGGCCCAGTTACCACAGGGTATGTGGCCGGCTTTGGGGAAGGGCGGTGGGGAGGAGGAGAGAAGGGAGGCGCTCTCAGGGGAGCCGGCTTCCTTCTGAGAGCTGGCGAGCAGCAGCGCGCTCCGTCTCAGATGCACCAAGCCCCACCCCTAGCCCACGTCACTGTCTCAGGAGCGCAGAGAGTTCGGGAAGCCCACGCAAGCAGGGAGCCGGTGCGGGGAGGGCGGGGAGCAGAGGGGGCGATTTAACCGCTCACATACCTGATCGAACAGGACTTTCCAGTGCTGGCAGAGAGGGAGGCCATGCAGGAGAGGAGGAAGAGGAGAGAAAGAAACACACACTTATGACCAAACCTCCGTAGCCCCGTCCTTGTCCAAACAGAGACTCCGGCCGTTGCCCACTCTGGACAGCCGGGAAGCGCTCCCTCAGTGAGTCTGCACCCAGGAAAAGGAGGGGACCCAGAAGGGGCAGACAGGAGAGGGTGCGTCTCCTGGGACAGGCCGGCCAGCCGGGATGAGCAAGACAAAGGTGGTGCCAGCCCCTTGATAAAGTGCCCAACTCTCGGTTCAGGGGTCCCCCATGGCGACCCCGCCTCCAGTTCGCAGGCTCACGGCTCCCACATCTGGGTCTGTACTCCTGGCGCGACTCCACCCGCGAGAGTATGGGCCCCCTACTCAGGAAAACTCCCCCCTGCGTAAGGGCTAACATTTCGTGCGCAGGCAGGGAGCAGGGGGATCCCGAGGGCACCGAAGCCCACCCAATCCGAGATCGCGTCCAAGTGGTGGGAAAGAGATGGGGCCGCGGCTGCGGGGCCGGAAATGAGAGACTTAACCCTGGCCGTGAGAGGGGTGGCGAGATGGTCACCCCCAGCCCCCAGCCTCATTCAGATTTTCCGATTTTCCAATTTTTCGGTTCTGTAGGCTGGAGTCCCGGTTTCTCTTCCATCTCCCCGGCCAGTGTTCACCTCTATTTGCAGGTTAACCCGGGCGAAGCTCAAGAAACTCCAGTTCCCAGCTCCGTCCAAGGCGAGCCCCCTGGGGGCGGGGGGCCAGGAGAGGGAGAGTGGGGAAGACTCAAGCGGCAGATGGCAGGGAAGCCCTCTGGGGCTGCCCCCTCCCCCCAGTGCTCTCCCGGGGGACCAGCGCCGGCACCGACTCAGTTCGGGGCTCCCGAGCCCCCTTCTGGGGGCAAGCCCGTCCCCGGCGCTCCTCTCCCGCCCGGGCCCAGGTCCTGGCGGCGGGGCTAGCCCCAGCCCCATCCGTGCGGCCAGAGCAGGTGCCAGGCGCGAGCTAATCTGGGAGCGGAGAAGGGGGTGGCCGAAGCGCGCTGCGCCACGGGTTCCGGGGGGCTCTGCGGCGCCCGCCCCGTCCCCGCGCTCTGGAGCCCGCGGGTCGCGAGGGGGAGGGGAGGGGGCCCCCGGCGGTGACGCTATCGCCTCTGCGGGAAAACGCCGCGTCCCGGGCACTGCACCAGCGAGGGCAGCGGCGGGGCCGCGTCCCGCAGGGAAGGCGCGGGAGCCCGAGAGGCGAGGGGGGCCGAGGGGGGGGGACGGCACGCACACGCGCGCGCATTTGGGGGAGCCCGGTCCCTCCGCCCCCTCCCGCCTGCCCGCAGGGACCCGGCCAATCCGGGGCGCTCCCGCGTCACCTTGAAACCTCCAAGTTGCCCCGCCGGGGGCGAGATGGGGAGGGGTGAGGGCGGCTCCGCCGACGGCGCCCCCCAGAAAGTTTGCCCGGGCGAGGGAGGGGGCACTCACGTCCTCGGGCGCCGCGGGCGGCCGCTCGTCGGCTTCGGGTTCCAGCACCTCGATGCGCTCGGCCTCGGCGCAGGCGGCCACTGCGGGGCCCGGGCTGGGGTGCTCGCCCATGCCGCGGCGGGTCCGGGGGCGGCGGGCGGCTGCGGGGCTCGTCCCGGGGCGCCGGGCTAACTTTGCGCCGCGGCCGCCGCGCCGCTCGGGGGGCTCCGCGCGCACCGAGCCGCCTCCGCGCCCGCCCCGCCGCCCGTGCGCGCCCCCATGGCCCCGCCGCTCGCGACCCCCGGACGCCCGGCCCGGCCGCCGCCGCCAAACTTCGCGCTCGCCGCCCGCGCCCGGCTCCGAGGCGAGGGCGCCCTTGGGCCGGCACCGGCCCCGCGCCTCCCCGCGCTCCTTCCCGCTTCCCGCGGCCCCCGCTCTGCGCCCGAGTCTCCTCCTCCCCGCGGACTCCTCGGGGGCGGCGCGCAGGCGGGGGCGGGGCTGCGGGGGGACCGCGGGGCCCCGCCACCCCCACCCCGGGCGCCACCACCCGGGCCCAGGCGGCCAGCGCGGCGCGGCCGCGGGCAGGGGAGGGCTGCGGCGCGGCGGGCGGGGACGCGGCGGGTTCCCCGACCTCCCCGCCCGCGCCCTGCTCGGCGCCCCGCACTGGGCTGCGGGTGGGGCTGCGGCGGCCACTTCTCCGGACCCGCCCGCTTCGTGAGCCCTGGGGGGCGGCGGTGCGTGACTAAGGCGGAGGCGAGGGGCTCACCAAGTTGGCCGCGTCGGGGTTAACTGGCAGTGAATTGGGAACGGGTGCCGGGAGAACGGGGGCTTCCCCCGCCCCCAACACCCTTCTGTCTCGCTTCACTTTGGGGGTCAGATGCTGGGAGCCTCCCGCCCGCCCCGGGGAGATCTAGACCTGTAGGGAAGAGGGTAAGCGAGATAGGGGAGCCCCGGACCCCAGACCATCAATCTTGCCTTTCCGGTACCTGGAGCCTGGCTTCGTTTGACCGAATTGATACAGCCCAGCGAAGCGCCCCAACGGCGAGAGGGCGGTAGAGAAACTTAGAGCAAGAGTTAAGTTAGACGCGCGGAGAGCTCGTAGCAGGGTCGGGCGCTCGCCTTGCACGCGACCCACCCTCGGTACCCAGTAGTGATCCCTGAGTATTGCAGATTGTGCCACCCCCCCCACCCCCCCAAAAGGGAACTTAGAGCCAAGAGCAAGATGACCCCGGCAAGATAGATTCCCCCCCTCCCCCATTCCCTTCCTCGAAGCCCTGTCCCCGGGGCGGTGTGTCTCCTCGTTAGAGTGGCTCCCCAAGCAGCCTGCCAGCAAAGGGTCTCAGCTGTCCACGGAGGCCAGGCAGGACTCATTCCTGGGCCAGTAGACAGACAGTCCCTGGACCAAAGCAGGGCTTGTAGGATCTTTCCCATCCTCTTCTTCCACTGACGTGCTCCCTTGCTCTCCTCTTTTTCCCTCTCAGAATAGAGACTCTTTTCCGCTAGTGAAAGTAGGAGGGGAGGCTCTGATCTTCAGAAAGCAGACATAAACCCAGTTCCAACCTGGGACCATCTCACCCAGCTGTGACTCTTCCCCTTAAACACAGAGAAGGAAATTAACTCAGCTCTAATTGAGTTTGCCACAGACACCAATTTTCATCTCGCTTTCAGAAAGTGTGATCATTTCAACTATTTTTGTTTCTCATCACCATCCCCCATCCCTACTCTACTAACAAGTCAAGATCCTGCCAAGATTTCCTTGTAAATAAAACTGTCTGCAAGGGTGTGATTTTGAAAACAGTCTTGGGGAACGGGGGACGGAAGAGAAACTGGCTCCTTTGTGTAGAGCTCAAAGGACAAGAAGCTGCATGGGACCCTGGGTCAGTGTCACGGGTCACATAGCAACCCCACCCCAGCCACCTTGCCTATGTGACAGGCATCTTTGGGACAGGAGGAAAGGAAAGAGGGCCAGAGAGATAGTACAGTGGGTAGGGAGCTTGCCTTGCATGCAGCCAATTCGGATTTGATTCCCCAGCACCACAGATTGTCGGTCCCTCAGGCACCACCAGGAGTGATCCCTGTGCAACCGAGCCAGAAGTAAGCCCTGAACATCCCCAGGTGTGGCCCCCACTCCCACCCCAAAAATAGAAAAATGGATAGAAGGGTCAGGGATGTGACTCAATGGAAGAGAAGAGCACCTGCCTTGCATGTGTGAGGTCCTGGGTTCAATCCATGGCTCCTCCTTCCACACACACCCCAACCTGCAAACACACAAAATTAATCTAGGGAAAGGGGGAAGGAGTTTCCAGGAAAATGAGTGTGGTTAGGGAAGGACTCAGAGATGGGGCCACTCTGTCAAGATGCCCAGCAACATTCTGGGTCCAGCTACCTTTGAAACTCTGCTGCCTCTCTAGTCCAGGGACACCCTCACCATCATCTCCTGTTTGGAAGGAACCTGGGCAGCTCAGTTCCATCCCCTAAACATTTACGCAGTGCCGGGATTAAACTGAGAAACACAGATGAATAGGATTCAGACCCGGTCTCTGGGAACTTTCTTTTTTGTTTTTGTGCTGCAGCTCCCAACGTGGTCCTTAGGGGTCATTCCCAGCAGTACTGGAAGGATAATGGAGGCCAGGGGATGGAGCCCAAGTCTCCTAAATGCAAAGCATGAGTTCAGCCCTTTGAGCTATATGTCTGGACTCAAAACCCTGTGTGTTTGGGGAGGTGGGCAGGGGGTAAACGCTAGGGAAGTTCAAGGAGGGGATCCTTGTGGATCCAAGGAAGGAATTTGTCCTGGGGCTGTGGAGAGGGTTCCAAGAGCTAACGCTCCTATCTTGCATAAGACAGGCCCTATGGTTCCCTTAGCAACCCCGGTGGGGTAGGGAGGCGGCTGGACACAAGAAACAGTGAGCACAGACCTGTCAGGTTGACATCACCAGGCCGAGTATAGCCAAAAGTGGCTCTGAGCCTCCAACCTGACCAGGAAGCCCCCTCCCCACAAAACCATGTACCTCCAGAACCAAAGTGGGGACGCTAAGGGGAGCCCTTCTGCATAGAGAGAAGAGCATGGGCAAAGGTCAGGCAGCGAGGCAGTGTGGCTGGAGATTGGAGCCTGGTGCTCAGTGCAGAGGCCAGCCAGCCTGATCTGGATGGGAAGGTTCATGAGAAGAGTTGGGACCTTACCCTAAGACAATGGGGAGCCGTGGCAGGATTGTCAGCAGGACAGGAATATTTTTTTTAAATCCCTCTGGGCTGGGGCTAGAGAGATAGTGTAGCAGGTAGGGCACTTATCTTGCACAAGGATGACTCAGACCCAGGTTATTGATCCCCAGAACCACATTGGGTCCCCCACGCCCTGGAGGAGTGATGCCTAAAATCGGAGTCAGGAGTCAGTTCTGAATATTACCAGGTGTAGACCCAAAAAAATACAAATAAAAATCCCTTTGGACCTGTGCTATAATAGCTTGAGAGAGGGAGGAGGAAGGTGGTCCAGAGAAGAGACCATTAGGGCAGCAGTGAGACTAAAGTAGAGAGATGGCTCCAGGGACTGGAGGGCATGCTTTGTATGCAGGAACCCTGAGTTTCATTCCTGGTACAACATGGTCCATGGAGCACTGTTGAGAGCATCCTCTCAGCACTGTGAGGTATGGTCCCCAACCAAAATCAAACAAAAAAGAATAAAGGTGTGTGTGTGTGTGTGTGTGTGTGTGTGTGTGTGTGTGTGTGTGTGTGTGTGCGCATGGGGGGGGTGTTAAATAGTACAGCAGATAAAGTACTTGCCTTGCTCACAGCTGACCTGGGTTTGATCCCCAGCAACTCATATGGTCACCTGAGCCCCACCAGGAATCATCCCTAAGTGTAGAGCCAGGAGTAAGCCCTCAGCACTGTGGGGTATGGCCCAAAAGATGAAATAAAAATAAAACAGTTCCTAGCTCTTGAGGGAACTGGAGAGATAATCAGCAGGTAAGGCACTTGCCTGCATGTGACTGACCTGGGTTCCATCCCTGCCCAGCACCCCATGTGGTCTCCCACCAGGAGTGATCTGTTAGTGTAGAGCCAAGAATAAGCAGCAGGTATGACCCTCCCTAAAAAAAATTCTTCCTCCTCCTTTAAACAAAAAGTTCCTAACTCTTGAGTGTTTTATGTGTTTTGGTTTGGTTTTGGGCCTGCAAGGCTGTGCTCAGGGGTCACTCCTTGCAGGGCTTAGGAGATGCCAGGGATCAAACTCAGGTCTGCCACATGCAAGGCAAGAGCCTTACCCACTGAATTATCTCTCCAGCCCCTACCCTTGAGTGTTTTTTAAAGTTTTCTAATAGGATGCTTGGGGTGAGTGAGGGGTGGCTGAGAGACTGGCAGGCAGCCGGGCCACCCCACAGGATGAAACTCAGTTCCAGGGACAGGCACGTGCCTTTGAAAGACGGCAACACTAGCCAGAGTGTGAAGAGTGCTGGATAGAGGGTCCCCCTGCAGCAACACAGAGTGAGAACAGTGGGCCTCAGACGCGGCTGGGCACGGCTCCGTGGGCAGCACCCAGTGGAGCCGGTGGCCACCACCGCCCTTGAGTGGCCGTGGAGGAGTTGGCCCTCACTCCGTGGGCAACAGAGAAGCGGGACAGCTTTGTCGTCCAAGCAACATTTTAGGAAGATTAAGTTGGCGGCTGCTCAGAAGTGCGACTCAGCGCTCTGGGAAGAGTGTCCATTTGGGGCCAGCCCCTGGCCGAGGTGCTGAGAATACAAAGGCAATCAGACTCAGGTCCAGGGCCTCCAGGGAGAAAATTAGATAATCCTCTAATTACAGCTCAGGGGGAGAGGGAGGAGGGGAGAGTGGAGAGTGATGGGGGCCACCATCCCCCCCAGTGAGGAAGCCACCCAGAGGAGGGTGAGATTTGGTTTTGATTTTGCCTTCAAGCTCCGCTGTGGTGAACTTGGGGGGCCAGAGGCTGCGGGCTGCTCCTGGTGGGCTGGGAGAGCCAGGGAGATAGGGTCAGGGCCGGACGGACAGGGCATCCTGGAGGAGTTTGTTTGTGGACAGCATGAGCTAATGAGAAGCCCGGGAAGGAGCGTTAAGGCCTGTAATTAAGGCTCAAAGCAAATGGCCCTGCTCAGAAAGTGAGGGCCGGGGGAGCTTTTTTTTTTTTTTTTTTTTTTTGCTGAACTCTTCTGCTTCTGCCTCTTCTTCCTCTCCAGTTTGCTGTTCTGATGTCCCGCCCCACCCCCAGGCCTGTACCCTCCTTTCTTTCCCTAAGGGTGGCTCAGCCTGACACCCCCTTCCCTGCCCACGTCTCCCCAGAATCCTGCACAGGGCCGGGCACCCGCCAAGGCCCTGCCAGATAAAGACCTGAGTTATTTTTGACTGAGATCCAAGCCCCGGCCCTGAATTCTTTTGTCTTCCAGGAATCCCCCAGTCGTGTTTGAAGTCTGCAAGTCCGAACAGCCGACAACGGAACGCGGGCAGCTCAGGGAGGAGACGAGAGCAGACTGCGCCCCG